ATGAAAAATGTAAATGCAAAAAAATCTAAAAAGGTTTTAAAATGTAAAATTACCACAGCTCTAAACTTACAATGTATGAAGAGTTCAAATTTGTATAAAACATCCTTCCTCTTCAATAAGTTTATAATTAGTGTACAAAAATAATTTTAAAACATAACTAAGGTATTGTGTAAAATAAGAGCAATTAAATTCTTTACCATCTGTCAGGTGCATAAAGAACATTGGCTAATCCAGAGTTTGGTCCCTACACCCGTGATTAGGCTAAGAAGATACTAGCTCTCGCTATAGAGTTCTCACTTCCCCTCACCTGAGAGCTAACATCTCTCCTTAGTTTCCAAACATCTAGACCAGATTATGGATTTTAGTCTCACCCTAAAATCTCCAATTCTACGCCCATAAAAACCTATTTCCATATCTATTTGCACTTAACCTCAAGGACTACATTCTCATCCATGAGGCTAAATGTGATTCTTACTATGTTAGAATAGATCCCATTTCAATTCACTACATTTTATAACAGATTTCACCAAATCAATTGACCATATTGACAAGTAAATTAAGCATAGAGTTTGAATTATCACAATTTATTGAATTTTAAAAGCACTACTACTAAACTACATTCAGACACATAATTATTCCTCACTGTAGGGAGAAAGACAAAGAAAACTACTCAGATCTCATGGGGAAGAAACAACAACACATGAATTTATAGATAAATAAATGTTTACAAGACAAGACAAAGTAAAATAAATAAAGTACACAACTTATCCTAAACTCCTTCCCTAGTAATTCTTATAGTTTCTTTGAATCACGCACTCTCCTTACAATTCAACTCCAAACTTACTTAGAATTGTAGTGAAGAAGATATCTTTCACTTCTCCTCTTCTCCTCCAAATCCAAGCATGCCTCCAAGACTTTCTCCTCTCTAATAAGAATACGCTCCTCTACAAATGACTCCATTTTCTTCCTCTCAAAAGTCTCCCCTTTGAATCTCTAGAAGTCTCTTTAAATAGAGCTCTCAAAATCCTTAAGAGTTTCTTCAAGCACCTCTTCAAAATTCGTCTAACTTTAATGGATCTTCTAGATAACCGCCTCAACGCCTAGGCGCCAGACTTTTTGTTGTCTAGCGCCAGATCAAGATTGACCTTTTTACTTCATTTGACTCCAATTTTCTCCATTTGTATTCCATTTGCTCCATTTAGTGAACCTACACCCAAAAACATCAAAAATACCTTTCATTATAGCGCAATATCATTTAAAATAGGCATCAAATGTGCAAATAAAAGTAACATATTTTAAGCATATCAAAATCCCCCAAACTTAATTGTTGCTTGTCCTCAAGTAACTTATTTTTTCTGAAAAATATTTTAACATTTGTTAGTGGCATTAAAGACATCTATAGTTTTGTCATATAAATGTGGTAGTCATGACTTTAGGAAAATATTATTAATTTAGGCTAGAAATAAGACATAAGAATATTTTGTAATCAAGTCCAGGAATTCTAATTCTTCTATTCATTTCAAAAATTAATTGTAGTTTGAAAAACATAGGAGTCTCAAAAAAATAACAGATAGAATTTGAGAGAACTCTACTAATACTGTTAGAAAATAAAAGCTTAGAACTATAATAAAGTCTTTTTCTTTAAAATGATTCAAGTGAAGTTAATTTTTAATTAGACATCCACTCAAGCTTCTCCTCGCTTTCATATATACTTTTCTTTCCTTTCTTTTTTAGTTTTTCTTTCCTTTTTTACTTTCAAGATCATTTTCAAGCCTTTTTTTTTCATTTTCTTAGCGAGGATTACTATATCTTGATCAACCTTTAATGATTTTGAACTTCACTATCCTCCTCTCAAAGTTAAAAATTTATCACATTCCTTTACCTTAATCCTTTCTATTAGTTTTCAAAAATGATTTTTCATAGAGTCTCAATTCCTTAAAGTATAGATCTACGATCCTCAATATTTCAAAAGACAATTTTAGGGCACTTTACATAGTAAAATTATATTTCTATTCTCTTTTATTTAATATCTTAAGTCTTAAAACTAACCTTTATAACTCTTTGGTAGCGAAATCATCCACGCCGCCGTCAACGCCATCACGGTCCGTGATGGCAAGGCGAGGCAAAGTGATAGAAATGATTTACTTAGAAACTTTTAGTTTTGGTTATTAGATTACTAAAATAATATATTTTCATTATTTTCAGTGCCCTAATTTGATCTAAACAGGGGATATTCACATGCATATCTCCCAAATCATTTGTATTTATAAATCTAACATCTACATATTTCTTTTTTTATCTTTGTACTACTGAAATTTTTCATAATCACATAAAAAATCACTTTTTTAACTTTAAAAAAAAAAAAAAAAAATACACATTAGTTAAGGTGATACGTGTGAAAGTTGAAGTTTATAAATTGGATATGCAAATACATGAAAGTTTAGTGGTATGCATGTAAAACTTCCATTTAAAAATATGAAATTTCCATTTGATTTATTCATGCGAGGGGTGAACCGCGTGTGGAAACTCGTTGAAAATTCATTAAAGGCCGAACGACGCTGGTTTAATTTCCTACGGTAATTTCCATAATTTTTAAATTTTTAAATGGGAGAAATAATATTCAATTTTGTAATGCATCAAGAATATTGTCATTCACATTATAGAATTCAACAAAAGAATTTAATGCTTTTTTTTCTTTTGTTGAATTGGATTTTTATGCTAATTAGAAGGGTTTTTTAAAACATAAATGAACCAAGTATTTTCTACAAATTTGATGTGTCGTCAAGAATTTTTTATCGTCTGGCATGAGCTTCGATGTGTTTAAACTAAGAAATTTTATAAATTTAAATTCGTCCAGCCAGACCCTGATTTTAACTAGTTTATAATCATACTGACAGCCTTGACACGAGTCAAGACGAACATAATAACTTCAAAGGTGATTCAAATTTGAGTTTAAGTAAGGTTAGATCAAACACTTAAAGTATAGTGAAAGGTTTTGATGAGTCAATTGAAGGATCAAATGATTTCAAAATTTGACATGTTTATACTCAAATCGAACGGCTCAACGAGAGTAATCCAACGAGTCTAAAATCACTTAATCCAGATGTCGTTATGGCGCTTAAAGATTGAAAAAGTTGCATCGAATCATGGGAATCATTCTGGGCTCTCTGATGGAGAGTTTGGAGAGATTGTCCAATTTTAACAAAATTAACCCACTCTAAAAGTACAAATAAACTAACATTCTTTACTTGACGAGAGAGGAGGAAGAGAGTAAGCTGAAAACAAAAGCTTAACACTTAGAATTTTCAATATGTATCGGCTACAACTAAAATATCCCACCTGCCACCATAAGTCATCGTCAATCACCACCAATAATTTGTTGCTGCCAACTATGAACATTACAACAACCAATTACAACCTTTGTAGCCAACAACTTCTACAGTGGTATCCACTAAAATAATTTCCCAATCCTATCTTCCCTAATACAGGAGAGGAGTTGACTTATGTACATTTAATTTTTCAGTGGATTACTTCTGTTTGGGCCAGATCCTATAATCTAGCTTAGTATTATCTTTGAGCTAATATATAAGATTTCTTTGTTGTTGAAAATCTCCCAGCATGCAACAAAAATAATTTTTGATTTTTAAGATCAATGAAATTGTTCTCTTTTTAAAACTAAAAATAATAATAATAATAAAGAAGTTAATATATTTTATATTTATTTTCCATTTTTAAGAGCCCTAAAAATTTTAATTGGTAAAATTATCCAATCAAGATAAATTAATTATTGAAAGCATGATTCCATTTTTAAGAGCCCTAAAAATTTTAATTGGTAGAATTATCCAATCAACTCTGCTAACAAGATAAATTAATTATTGAAAGCATGAGAGGTTGAATCTGATTAATGTATGTTTTGTGCACTTTACATGTCAAGCTTCATCGTAGGAACAATGATATCCTTGGTTGTATGACCCGCATTTAAGCAAAGCTAAAAACCCCCATCTAAAACTAAGAGTTTAACAAAAAAAGATTAAGCTCAACTCTTTTCACATCCACCATAGGCCAATCTAGTGCTTGTTTTTTAGCTACCAAACCATTTGGTCACTAGGATTGATAACTTTGCCTTTACTACTATTATTAACTTTTAACCTTAGTTTATAGCACCACAATTTCTAAGTATATTAAGTATCTTCTTTCCCACTTAATATAATAATATTTATGAAAGAAAGATTTACATTCATACCACAATTTCTATTTATGCACATACATGATAACTAAACTCTCTACAATCAATCAAGTTTCTCTACAATCATCCAGAGGTCATTTACAAACATACCACTCAATTCTTATGTATTTACATATCTAACATTTAAAATTTACCCTTTTTTTTTACATTTCTATCACCCAATCTTGCATATCACATCAAAGAACCAACTATTTTAAGTTTTAAAAAACTAAAATACGCATTTTCATGCATAGTTCAGCTGGCATATAAATGTAAATATTGAAGTTTAGGTGTTAGATATGTAAATACATAGGAATTGAGTCGTATGTAAACAAATCTTCCTAAAACGAGGAAATATCAATGCAATTCAAATAATGTTCATATCTGAAATATAACCCCAAATCGACTAAATCCAGGCACCAGCCAAGCACAAAGTTAAATGAAACTCCAGTTACACCCTATTATCATCAAAAAACAAACATCTGGAAGATTTACATACATACCACTCAATTCTTATGTGTTTACATATCTTACATCTAAATTTTTATCTTTTACATTTATACCACCCAAATCATCCATATCAAATAAAAAATACCAACATTTTAATTTTAAAAAGTTAAAATACAACTTTTTCATACATAGGGAAGGGGGCACGTTTTGTAAAAATTAAGGTTTACGTGCTGGGCATGTAAACACATAAGAATTGCATGTTATTTATGTAAATACCTTTAATTATTTAAGCATATTCTAGACAAAAAATATATATCAAAATCCAAATTCAATTCCAAGTTATCCTTGGCATCTACCAAGCTTCATAAACCTTGAAACAAATAAATAAATAGCTTTCTTTCTGCTCTCTAAACTGCATGCAAATTCTTACATATTACACCATGCATGGCCTGTACACAATCTCAGAAAAAAGATAGCAAAAACAGGAGCTTAGCTGAAAGAAAGTACCACAGAGGAAGAGGTGACCAGACCAGAAAGCAAGCCGACCAGAGCGGCGCTGTTGTAGGTGGTGGGCTCGGATTGCATGGAGTTGTTTCTGTTGTCAATGTATGAGTCGTTTTTGAAGGGACCGCCGACAAGAGCTCCGACGGCAACATTCGGATTGGGGTTTGGAGATTTGAGCCATTGGAAGCCCTTACAACCGGTGTTCGCGGAAGCGGGGATCGAAGCTCCTCTATGGTGTACTTGTTGTGGGTATTTATCGCCGTAACCGACGAGATAGCTCATCGCCATCGGATTATCGCCCAATATATAATCAGCCTGAAAAACGTTGAAGCGAAGAAGGAAAAGATGGAAAAAATAGTGTTAGAGATTGTAAAAGGTTGTATCTTTACTTATTGATTTTGATGTTAGTACAAACATTTGTATGTAAAAGCTGGAGAGAACGGCAAGAAAAGTATAATACACGAGAATATCCTTAAAAAAACAAAAGAAATTTTTATTTTCAATAATAAATATTTAGTACAAACATTTGTATGTAAAAGCTGGAGAGAACAGCAAGAAAAGTATAATACACGAGAATATCCTTACAAAAAAAAAGAAATTTTTATTTTCAATAATAAATATCAGGGGGCATTTACATACATACAATCAAATTCCCATGTATTTACATATCCAACAACACCTAAACTTAGCTTTTTTATTTATACCACCCAAATCTTTTATGTCGCATAAGAAATAGATCATTTTTGACTTTTAAAAAGTGAAATACATATTTTCTTGCATATGTAAGATGGTATAAAAGTACGTAAAAAGTGAAATTTATATGTTAGATATGTAAATTTATAGGAATTGAGTGGCATGTACACAAATCTTTCTAAATATTATAGATTTCTATAATAAATATTAAATAGATGTGATTACATTGATATGGAGAAAAGATTCAAAATGACCACTCAACTATTTGTAGTGGGGGCCAAACTGTTTCAAGGCCAAGTAAAAGGCTGATTGAGTATCCATACTATTTACATAAAAACTAAAATAGTCGTATTTAAATAGTATGGGGAGCAAATTAATCTTTTACATAGTTTTGGGCTATTTTGGCCTTTGCAAACAGTCAGGGAACCATTTTTGTCATTTTCTCTATTGATATGATAACATAATGATAACTCTACAAAATTTAACAAAAAGCACCTGTGCCATTGCGAATTTGCGCAGATCTGAAGATGAAAAGGTGGCCCCATTGCAAGAAAAGGAAGGCGTCCTAGAGGTTAGCATGTAATCACTATAAAGCAGAGCGAGGAATGAAGCAGCAACTGGGTGTTGAAGTGCATTCCATTGATCGATCCACAAGAGCCCCCCTAAATATGTATAAGAAGATAAATTTAATCTAATAAGATAAATGCCAAAAACAATTTGTAGCTTAGTGAAATTTATTGTAGAAGTTTAATATCTTAAAAGTATTCTGAAGGGGTAAAGTATCATGTATGAAATTGAAATATCATAGTCATGCTAATAATAGAAATTCTTCATTGCTCAAAAAAGCGTGACAAAAATGGCAAATATTAAATTAATTTACTTATTTATTCTAAACTATTGTAGTTAAGCTATCATCTAGAGTATCCAACCTTGATAAATAATAAAGCAAAGACAAATAAGATATAAAAAGTCCCCCCTTTTTCTAGGAGTTGAACCGGTTTCAAAAAAAACAAAACATCTAGAGATAATCTCTATTCCTTCTTGTTCTTTCCCTTCTCTTTTTTTTTTTTTTTTCTTAGTATCTTAGATAGTTTGATAGGAGATAGATTGAAAAGGTAAGAAAATCCGATGAGATGAGGAATTCAAGGCCTCTCTTTATAAGGATTTCACAATACGGTTAAATTTTGTAGGATATCATCTTTTATTATAAAAACCAGATTCTTGAATTAAGTTAAAAATTTACCTGATTTGTTTCTTTAATTGAATGAAAAACTTATAATACATTGTACAATGTATATTTGATTGCTCTTCTTTTAAGTTAAATTTGAGATCAAGAACGATTTCCCCCAATTTATCATCAAATTTGATAATTTGGATTCAAAAAATAAAAAAGAGAAATCAATACCAAAGATTCATAAAATATTGATTGATTCCAAGCTTAGAGATGAACTTGTAACAATTTATCATCAAATTTGATAATTTGGATTCAAAAAGTAAAAAAGATAAATCAATACCAAAGATTCATAAAATAGGGATTGATTCCAAGCTTAAAGATGAACTTGTAATATTTCAATCTTTTATAATCTTCAAATTTAATTGAATATTAAATAAATAAACTATTTTGGTAAGAGAATATCATTACTCATTCATTCGCAACTATAAGTTGGCGTTAAATCACCATGCAAATCATTCAATAATACAGAAAGAACTTTATTAAAATGAACATTAAATTAAAATTAATAAAAAAAAATGTGGTAACTAAGAAGAAATTCAAATTCAAAAGTAAGCGGTCGTCCTATGAAAGCTACTAAGACTTAGAAAAACTACATGAATTGTGAATAAGCCTTGATTTAGAGAGCAACCTTAGATTGAAGAAAGAAAGCTTGGACAAACCAATCCAACCTCCTAAGATTGCATATTATGATAAAAATTAAATGAACTACATGATTCATACAAAGTGGTGATACTTAATTTAAGACGTAGTTCAAATAATCTGAAATTCTTGAACAAAATAAATAAGGGTATTTACATATATAACACACAATTCTTATGTATTTACGTATCTAACACCTAAATTTTGAATTTTACATTTATGCCAATCAAAACTTTTAAAAAGTGAAATACAACTTTTCATGCATAAGTAAGGTGGCATATATGTAAACATTAAATTTTAAATGTTGGATATATAAATAGATAATAATTGAGTCAAATGTATGTAAATTTCCCTAATAAATATTGCTTAAGCAGTTACCATCTGTCCTGCTGGATGTGGATGTTGGGGTATCTGGTAAAAGGCCACACATTATAGCTTCAGATGTTTTTCGGTACATCTGGAGGCCTTTGTTCTCTGCATTAGTGGATTCCTTGGCCCCAAATAAATTTAATCTTGATAAAAGAACCTGTTCATATAAATTATAATTATGAAAAACAAAAGCCAAATAAGAGCAATTGGAGAAGGCTAACAAAAAAGTCGAGATGATTGATAAATAGTTGGATTAAGATTTAAATATGTTTACAGCAAATTATAAACAAAGGCCACAATGCAGAAAAATGGTGAGACAAAATAATTATAATAATTTTTAAAAATTAGATATGATGATTACATTCAAATTTTGACTTGACAAAAAAATTCTGTCATAAAGAAACAGCAGCAGTCCAACTTATTTTAATATAAGAAATCATATATGGCAGAATAGCCTTAATTTACAGAAAGGGGAGGGGATTAGCGAATCACAAAGCTACTTTTTTCAGAAGATGAAAAATTCCAAATATATAGCATTTTTTCCTTGCAAAGTACTATATGATGACATTTTTATAAATTACATTCTGCCTACAAGTAGTGATGAAGATATAACAACTACTTTCATGAAGTTTTCCTGTCATATCAAAAGATGAAATGGGCATAATATACATTCAGGTGGGGTTTTATGAAAGATCCAACGAATCAGCCGAACTTAAAATACTCAACCATTAATGCAACTGAAAAATTTTAAACATAGAACTGACGAAACCACATAAATCCTCTCTAAACTATAATTCAAAAAAGACATAAGAGCACATTGCAATGAAGTTGCACTTTCAACTAGTCTTCAATCTCACATTAAATTCCACAAATTCAAGAAAATATGATTTCGAAAAGCATAAATAACAACGCCTAGCTTTATACATTTTCTTTATTTTATCATATATATATATATATATATATATATATATATATATATGGAATATATATGGAAAATGTACATTCATACCACAAAATTCTTATGTATTTACATATCTAAAACCCAATATTTGATATTTACACTCATAACACCTTGATGCATAAACATATACATGAAAAAGGTGAATTTTACTTTTAAAAATATAGTAATGATGGCATTTTTCATGTGATGTTAAAAATTTGAGTGCTATGCATACGAATATCAATGCTTAGGTGTCAGATATACTAATACATAAGAATTGTGTGGTATGTATGTAAATGCTCAATATATATGGGCATTTATATAGATAGCACACAATTCTTATATATTTAGACATCTCATACATAAACTTTCATATTTACACACAAGGCACTCAAATTTTTAATATCACATCAAAACAACACTTGTCACTTTTTAAAAGTGATCTCACACCTAAACTTTCATATTTAGACAAATAGCACTCAAATCCTTCATAACATCAAAAATATCAGTATTATTATTTCCAAAAGTTTTCATGCATATGTTTAAAGCACCAAAGTGATATGTATATAAATATGAATGCTTAGGTGTCAGTTATGTAAATACATAATAATTGTGTGCTATGTATGTAAATGCCCCAAAGTAGAATTTAGATGTTAGATATGTAAATATATAAGAATTGGGTGATATGTATGTAAATACCCGGAGAAATAAAGTAAAGATGGTACTTTTGATGTGATGTTAAAAAAAATGAGTGACATGGATGTAAATATGAATGCTAAGGTCTTAGATATGTAAATACAAAAGCATTGTGTGATATGTATGTAAATGCTCCTCAAAATATATATCGAGGATAAGATGAATGCCTGTGTTCCGGAACGCTTGTCATCCCAACTAAACCACGTAGGTCTTCCCCAATCAGCAAATGTCTCTCCATTTTGTACCGTTACATAACTCAAATAAGACTGATCCCCAGTGGCGTGATAAAGCCAGCTCGCAGCCCACAAGAGCTCATCCTTATAACCAGTAGAGTTATAAAACTTCGCAAGTTTTGGAAAGCTAATAATGTAAGAAACTCTGCGGTCATCAGCAAAAGTGAATAGTTTTTGAGCATGTTGAAGAAGAAGATCAGAGTAGGAAGCATTTATGCTTTTAAAAACCAATGAAGCGGCAGCCATGGCTGCAGCAGTTTCTGCGGCCACCTCTGTTCCAGGATTTTTCTTGTTAATTTGTAAAAGAGGCCTTTTCTCTGTCATTTCTTCAGGCCTCTGCCAGCATTGGTGGTCGAGATCAGGATCTCCAACCTAACATGCATAATAATAAAGATCAAAATTCTATTAAGAGAATGGAAGATTTACATACATAACACACAATACTTATATATTTACATATCTAACACCTAAACTTCAATTTTTACATACATGCCAGTGATACCAATGAAAAGGTGTATTTCAGTTTTTAAAAGTTAAATGGTGGTATTTTTTTATGTAATATGAAAGATTTGGGTGGTGTAAATGTAAATATTAAAAATTTTTTTATGTAATATGAAAGATTTGGGTGGTGTAAACGTAAAAATTAAAAAATTGGGTGTGAGATATGTAAATACGTGGGAATTGGGTGGTATGCATGTAAATAACCTCTTAAGGATAAAGAGTTAGCTTTCAAATGTTACTTAACCAATAGATTGAGAGACAAAAATTGACACAAGAGATGTTGGAACTCGCATAAGAACTAATAAATTATAAGGGCAATTACATGCATACCACTCGAAACATTGCTATTTACAAATCTAGAACCATCTTTATTTATTTTTCAAAAATACACTCAAATATCAAATTTTGCAATAAAACTCAAACCCATATTTTTCTTTTTAATCAATTTCTCACTGATCGTGACACGTATAAATGCATCAATTTGGCAGTTCAAAAAATTCACATGGCAAATCACATGAATGCTAAACAACAATGTTTCGAGTGTTGTGTAAGTAATTATCCTTATAAACTATAATGTATTTATCATAATTTTCATAAGACATGGATAGATCCTTACAATTTAACAAGGCCCTAGCACTTATAATGATAAGCAAATTAAGTCCCTATTTCATGATTCCATTTTAAGTGTCACAACTTTCAAAATATAACAAAGCTAACAGTAACTCATTCCCAAATTACCTTTTCATATAAAAACTAAAAAGGAAAAAATGTGCATGATATAAAAAGTAGAGAGAGAGAGAACCTTTGGCTGGTTTAAAAATAAAAATAAAATTAAAAAACAATTTGGAAACAAAATGCAATAATTGACATAGAAACCAGAGTTGCTATCTATATTAATTATAAGAGATCCAAATAGTTAATTTTAAAACAAGAAGTTAACTTTGCAGAAAACAAGAGCAACCAATATCTGAGCAAAAATCTATATAAATCTAGCCAGGATACCAAACTCTGTTTAATTAACATAAATTATTCTGAATCTGATTGCATAAAATTTCAGCATTGCTTTAGAAGAGAAGCTTAAACTCTAAATTTAGAATTAAGTAACATACTCTTGGCTATAAATCTACAAAAAAACAATAAATCATTTTAACAGCAAATTTAAAGGATAATAAATAGAATTGTTAGTTAAGAAAAACATAAATGTGAAAATTATTATTCAAAATTAATACTCTATAGCATCGGAAAATCGAAAGTTATGAGCTGCATGATAGAAAGAAGCCTGGTGATTACTACCCAAACCAAATCTAAAAGAGCATTTACATACATAAAACACAATTCTTATGTCTTTACATATCTAACACCTAAACTTTCATATTTACACACATAGCACTCAAATCTTTAATATCATACCAAAAATAGTACAATTATAGTATTATCAAGGAGCATTTAAATACACCGTTTGATGAATAGGTTTAAAGAACCAAAGTACTACGTATGTAAATATGAAAAATTAGGTGCGAGACATGTAAATACATAAGAATTATGTGCTGCGTATGTAAATTTCCCACTCTAGAATTCCAGATGAAGCTGGAGCTCTGTTCCAGTGCATTTTAGTCTTAAATAATAAAAGAACTATTGATCTGGCAAATTTCTACAACAAGATTTCACTAAAAAGGGCCATGTAATCAGTAAAGAAAATTTTCATGGAAGTATTTAGATTTACCTGAATATATAAAACGCTATCAGAAGGATGAGCATTGATCAAATAATCAGTGATCCACTTGAGAGAATCTTGAGCAGAGTCCAACTGGTTCACCGAGCTCATCTGATCTCCATACTCAAGAATAGCCCAAGATAGCACCGTCGCAGTAAAAGCCATAGGAAATCCAAACTTTATGTGATCCCCAGCGTCATACATTCCTTTCGATAAATCCAACCCAGCCTCACTCCCGTCATTCAAAGCCGAATCCCCTCGCCAGCTAATCTTGTTATTCACTAGCTTACCAGCTAACATTATCAACAACAAGAAAACAGCAAGTATGAAACTAAACTAAGTCGGTATTCCCAACAATACAAAAATGTGAAAGAGCTAGAGGTTGAAGACGACGAACATTTCTGCACTTGGAAGAACTGGAGAGCAACTGAGAGAGCATCGGCATATTTCTGCGTTACAGCTCCCGGCGGCCCGGGAACCGGTCCCATATCAGAATGGTGAGCCTTCCTTCTCAGACCAACCACGATGGCTGTGACCAACAAAGCAGCGACGATAAGAACGATCAGCCAACCAGTACAGCCCTTCGTGTACTTCCCCGCCCCCATTCTCCACAACTAAATTCAGAACCTCCAATTTTCAGAAAAATATACAAATTGGCGGCAATTCGAGCTCAAAAAAAGGTTATTAAAGACTAAAAGGGTTACGAGTTTCGGATCAGGTCCGCATTGGGGCAGAAAAGTAGCTAAAAATGAAGGAGAGATCTAGGGTTTGATAAACTGAGCGACGGCTTTCTCCCCCGGGTAACGCCTGAGATCTGGATCTAAATTATCTCTGTGTCATTGCCAACTAATAGGAGAAACCCATACCATCAGCCACCGACAAAGAAGACGACGGCGACATTAATTCGGTTTGTTTAGGGGGCATTTTCTGTTCTCCAGACAGCCCAGCTGAAATTAAACCAATAGCCTACTTATTTATTATTATTATTATTAATCTTAGGGGCATTTACATACATTCCACCAAAGTCATACATATTTACACATCTAACCCCCAAATTTTATTTTTTATATTTATACCAATAAAATCATATCATTATTTTAATTTTTTAAATATAAAATACACATTTGCATGCATAAATAAATTGATATATTTGTAAAAATTAAAGTTTAGATGCTAGATTTATATATACATAAGAATTGAGTGGTATGTATGTAAATCTTCCTTATTATTGTTATTATTATTATTATTATTATTATTATTATTATTATTATTATTATTTAATTAAGATTTTGATTTAGTTGTAATAAAAAATAAAAAGCAAAAAATTATAATTAGTAAATTTAAATAAATATAAAATTATTTAAAATACCGTTAAATTTAAATCTTATAAGTTTTATATATTTAATATTCTGTATACTAATCACTTTTGAGTTTAATATATTTAAATATATTCTAAAAGAACAATATTTTAAGAGTGGGATGTATATATAACACACTATTTATGAATATATCTAACAACTAAACTTTCATATTTACATGAATAATACTATAAATTTTAACTTTACATAAAAAATATTACTTATATGTCATAAATAAATTTTTATCATCTACACGAAACTTGACATAATTTTTTGAGAAAAAATGTTCTTAAAAAGCATAACTCTGATTTTAACAAAATTACACTCGAGTTGATCGACTTAACAAGACAGACCCAATAATAATAAAACTGGTCCAATTCGAGTCAAATTAAGTTCAATTCAACCCGTTGAACCACCTTTGGAAGCTGCCAATGTATAATTAGAATGTCAAAAAGATTACAAATTTGACAACCATATAGTAAAATCAAGCGTCTCAAAAAAATAAATCTAGCGAGTCCAAAATCTCTCAATTATGACAGCATTAAGGCACTCAAATGTTCATTAGATGACATCTAATCGAGGGAATCTCTTCGGGTCATTCGATGCAATAGTCTGAATTCTTTACTTATTTGTACAGAAGTCTCTCACAGACTCTATAAATAAATCTCTACCTCCCTCTTGAGAACAGACTTAGACCTTGAGCAAGAAGCGGACTGAAGCGTGGAGAACAAAGTTTATCATTGCTTCTGCAATAAAGATTCGTCAAATACTTTCCACTCATATAACCACCAACCACAGTCAACCACCATTTGTAGAACCTAGTCGACCACTAACGACCACCTTTTTTTTGTTGTTGTCAAACTATGTACAGAGTCAAGACTTGCATTGCAAAGTGACAAATCACCATTATAAGTACCAACTAACGCCGCAGAGTAACAAAGCATCTTGTGAATCAATGCATCATTCTGAACAACTTGCCAACCTCGAAGACGGTGTGTCAAAGCTCCAATAACTACTCTGCATTACGATCGCTTCATGTCGTGGGCAGAGCAAATGAGCTCATTTGTACATAACCGTAGTAACTATTGTGTGATCATTCGCACTTGTGCTACAAGGGTGTGTACATATAATCGCCAACTCATAATAAATCAAGCTTCATGATTTTTTTCCTTCCCGAGTTTTCCACGTAAAAACTTCTAGTGTTTCTTCTTGTCACTCATAATGTCTAAGTGTGTGTTGGATTTGTGTTCAATGCTAAAATAATAATTCATTACTCTACCGTCGTGAATTCTCACGCATCAATCACTACTTTAAACTTTTTTTAAATAAAATATATATTTTAATGCTTAAATTTATCTCATCAAAATCTTATAAAAATAAATATCATAACTTGAAATGCTAGATATCTAAGTCCATAAAAATTGAGTGGCTTGTTTGTGAATGCCCCAAAATTTATAAAACGTTTGTCTTATGATATTATGAACAAAGCATTTTGGATGGATATCTAAATTATTAAATTTATTTAAGATTACTATAATTGATGTTTGTTAAGAAATTCATGGCAGCTGAGTAATATATTATTTATCTTAGCGTGGTATGAAAATTCATCACACGCTCAGAAGAAAGAAAATAACCAGTCAAGACGACAAAAGTTCTTGCGCGGAAAACCCGTAAAAGAAAAAAGCACAGGGTCTGACCCAATTGTAAAAAACCTTACCATAAGTTGATGATTACAGACCTCTCGTCCCACAGGCGAGAAAGCGTTACGAAATCTCCCGAGATACAATGTTGACGTGCAAATGAACTTGTTGTAAAAAGTGGGTGGCAGCTGAGGGTGATTAGCGGCAACCAGCGAGAGATGGTCGGCGACAATCGGTGACTTGTGATTAGTGGTTGTCGGTGGTGGTCAGCGACAATGTGATGTTGGACTTCAGCTCCTCTAAGCTTCAAACTCTTTTTCAAGCTTCAAGCTCTCCTTCCCCCAAGCCTTCAACACCCCTCTCTCATGAGATGAGTGGAGCCTTATTTATAGAGTTATGGGTGCAATTAATGATGGAATATGAACTACTTTGATTAGACGGTCAGTAGATATTCCTTGATCAGATGACATTTAATAGATATCTAAGTGCCTAAGTAATGTTTGACTTGAGAAATCTTGGGCTTGCTAAATTTGTCTTGTCGAGACATTCGGTTTGACTATGAATTTGTCAAGCTTGTCATTCATTTGCTCTTCTAAAGATGCTCAGAAAACTTCCAAAAGCTGGTTAATTGGTATCATTGGGTCAGTTTCATTGAGTCGTTTAGTTTGACTATAAATTTGTTGAAATTGGAGTTCCAATTAACTTTTTATCAAAGCTTAAAACATTTTTTTCTCAAAAAGGTGCATCGAGATCCATATCATGCCTTGAGATTCGTGTTGGATGTTGGAAATTTATGGATAACGTATCAGTTGCTCTCCTATTTTTGGGTGAAATCAGCTTCATCGTCGAAAATAACAATATCCGTAGAAATTTATGTTTTTCATTAATTTTATTGACATGTATATGTATTTATTTATTACTTACATATTTGATTATTTTTATTATTTTTATCCATGCACTTTTTGTGTGTGTGTGTATATATACATACATACATACATACATATAAGAACTTACGTACATATAAGGAGTTCGGAAATTTTCCTGCATACCACGTCATCTACGAGTAAAATTTGCGTACGTATGTACGCAGCGCTACGTACGTCAGGGAGGTTATTCAAAGGATATTGGGAGGTTATGTCTGCGTTACACCCCCTATAACCTCCCTGTGACCTACTTGTACTTTCTAATAAGTTTCGCGCTTCTGTTTTCATATATTTGCAGATTCCAAATATTTTCGTTTTTTTTTCTCTTTTTTATTTTAAAAGGAGTCGTCTGCTTGTTGATCATCGTATTTTTTCCTTATTCAAATAAATCTCCCTCCTGAATCATATCAGTGATCGAAGAGGAGAGGAACCGAAAAAGAAGAGACTGTTTTCGTTCATTTTTCTCTTTTTTATTTTAAAAGGAGTCGCCAGCTTGTCGATTGTCGTATACTTCCCTTATTTTAATAAATCCCCCTCCCAAATCATATAAATGATTCGAAGAGGGGAGGAACCTAATAAAAAGAGACATACGATAAAGAGACAAACAAGAGAAAAAAGAAAAACATAAAGTCTACGTGCGATAAACCTCGTAAGGATAGGCGCGAAGAGGACCTTACGAAATCTACCATAATCAGAGAGTCAGTTGTATGTACCTGTTTTGGAGTCAAGAGCACTTCCAGAGGAACATGTTCCTACTGGTTAATTACATCCTGGGGGATACCGAAGAATACTCTCGATAAAAGGAGTTTCACTTCATATTATCATAAACCTGGGGTATAGACAATCAAATGAGGTTATTCCGGGTGGGAATAGTCCCGATGCTTCAAAGCTCAGGCTAAGCCATCGGGCAGAGAGTGAGCCTCTCACATCCCAAATGGGTAGCAACTAATCAACACATGGGGCCCAAAGATAAACCTAAACCATCTTGACGGGGATATCCCAACATGTCAAAGCACGTCTGGGCCATAAGGACAGAGGACAAATCGTCGTATCTCAAATGGGCAGCAGTTCATTGTCATCAGACTGTCAATATCGATGAAGTCAAAGAAGTGACAAGGCTCGAAGAGGCTCAACAAAAGGAAGGTAGAGGGAACTACCCGTCATCCACAGCTACTAGGACCCTAAGTCTACCTGATGGTGAAGGTAGTCGACCCAACACGTCTTGAGATCCCCGGTCTGCAATTCGTGAATTGCATCGTCCACGAGAACCTCAGTATCTCTAAGGTCAAAGGAAGGAAACTCTATCCTATGAATACAAGTTGGAGCTCCAAGAGGTGGTTCTTCCAACCCGGGTTATAATAATTTGAATATGGGTTATTCTGCTTATTGTTTAGGGCATTAAAAGTTTATAATGATGCTTGAGAATCTATCATTTTGCCTAATAAATTCTCTTCAATCATAGGAATTGGTTGAGAAAAATTCATTCCAAATTGGTCTAACTTCCTTGAAATTGCTGCAACTTGATTTGCTAGCATGGCAAAAGCATCAGTTTCATGAATATTGGCTACTTTCTTAAGATTTACCCAAAAGAGGATGATTCTTCGATATATATAGATATAAAATGCGATGTATGTGATTATATGATTAATTTCCTTAATAGTTATTCTTATTTTACAACAAAACAAAAAATTTGATCCAAAACAAAAGCTAAGTAAATTTTTCATTATGAAGCAAATACGAATGCAGTTATAATATTTCAATATAGGATACTACACAAGTATACATATCGTTATCAAGTACTATAGAACTTTTTGATTAAGTCCCGAATATCGAACCCACAGGGAGGACTAAATTTAGATAACAAAATTTACTCGGTAGCAATATATATTCTTACTCAAACTTAAGATGCTATAATAGTAATAAAAGTTTGATTCTTTTTGTAATTTTTTATGATTGAAAATAAAGTAAGCAACTAATTAACTTAATTAAAATACTTGCAAGCTGAAGACATATAAGTAAAATATATTTTTTT